AGTTGAGTGGTTTAAAAAAGAACTGAAGTATTTGTTATTCCTAGTGCATAAGGGCTCTTACAGAAACCATTCTTAACCATTTTCTCTCTCTTATCACTTTGAAAGGGTGGGATTAAATTTGTGTTATAAAAATTGCACCAAAAATGACTGGATTATATTACAGAGTGATGTACTGTATCATGTTCTCTGCTAGTCCTAAATTTACTGAAAGCCTCTTTAAGCTGTCAGACTTCTGAAGCAGCATGAAAATAGTTTCAAAAGAATTGTGATTTAAAAAAAAAAAAAAAAAAAGGATTGCTGTATAAAGAAATTTTCCTCGGGAGTGTTTTTGTGAGAGGGGAAGCCTTATTGACTGGAATTCCTGTGCTAAAAAAGTAATCTACAAAATATGCTAGGAATTGTGGCAGTGATAAAAGTAGCGTAAAAAAGTCAGGAGGCACTGAAAGCTTGGAAATTCTGTTTTTGAAAGGAAGCATGGTGGAAATGGGAGGAAGCTTTACAGGAAAGAGAGCTTGCTATCCTGATACTCTGTCCTGCCTGGAAGAAGAAATTATCTCTAAGCAAACGCCCAGAGACCAGTACACAAAGGAACAAACAAACGAAAAAATCCCAGCAATAAAACCCTGAACTGCTTTTCACAGAAGCATGGAAATTAAAGCAGGGAAAGCTGGATTTCCATAGGCAGAGCTGCAGAGAGCGGCGTTACACTTCTTTGCTTCCATATTAGTTCATTAGAGAGGTCCGTGACATCTGGCCTGTGAGCCCTGACCCTACTGGTGATGAATGGGTTTAATCTCTGGCGTGTGACACCAGCGCTCGTGATTCCTGCAGGTTAATTGATTTCTTTTGGCAAAGCACATTTCCAAGTCCTGTTGTCTGAGCAGCATGACTGACTGCAGAGGGAAAACAAGGCATCTTGGAAAAGAAATTCTCCCGTACCCAGCAAGTAATAGGTAGGATATGAGGGAGGACTGGCCAGGCAGAAAGCTATCCTTGCCAAAGGTGGACAATGCCAAGTGCAGATGGCCTGTCGTGGTGGGAGCTGGACGTCGGACTGGGAGTCCAGCATGGAGTTTTAAACTGCTGATAGCAAAATACTCTGTTGCCTTTTCTCTCACAGGCAAGCGTGCAGCTAATAACAAACAAATCCTCCCCCATCAATTCTTCCGAGGAGACCACTGAACCTGTCGGCAACGGCAGGCGGGACCCAGGCGGCAGCGCAGGCACCGCTGCACGTGGCAGGGAGAGAAGCCTTACTCCGCAGTTGCCAACCTTATGAAAGATACTGTCTTACTGTTCAGTAATGTGTTAAACCTGAAATAAGCTGCACTCTCCAGGAATCTGTAGGGTGCCAGGCTATTTTTACCATGGGAGTGGGCATATCCCAGAAACAGTGCAGTAGGAGTCATTTGAGAGAAATTATTTTGTTAACCATTATTTACGACAACAGTTCTCCCTCTGTATCTGAGCCAGGGTGGAACACAAAGGATCTGTGGCTGAATAATATAAAATTCCTAAACAAATGTAAATTGGACAGACCAGGAACGGGAAGGATGCTGAAAGAGAGAGAGCAACAAAATCAGGTCTGAAGGCTGTTTCTTCAAAAAGTGGACCAGTGACGGGTTGGGAAGCTGGTATGCTGGTATGTGAACAGAGTACAACCCAATCTGCTCAGGCTAGACAGCAACAGACAGAAATAAAGACTTCTATGCAGGAGAAAGCAGAGCTGTGGGATGTGACCTACTGTGGTGTAACACTACTGCAAAGCTGGTGTTTTGGTGCACTGTAAAGCAACCCTGTAAAACACACCAGCACTGGCACCCAAGCAGAGTCAACCAGTTAGCGACCAGCCCGCGACCTGCAGTGCCTCCTGAGAAAGCCCTCTCCCTCGAGAGGTCTGCTGGAGCTGCGATACCGGTGGGATACCACAGTGCATTGCCCAGTACAAAGGTCCAGGTGGGGTCAGACATGCTGATAAAGATGGGAGTGACCCAGAATTCATCAGTACCCGAATACTGAAATCCTCCTTCAGCACCTGAGATGCCATCATGGCACGCTGGCAACACACGTGGTGCAAAGGGACATGTATCCCCACTGTAATTATAAGTAAGCGGAACGAGCGCTCTCCCCTCTGAATACAGTGAAGACAAACACCGAAGTTTTCCTAGAAACAAAGAGCTGGGAGCCCTGAGCGATGGCTGACGCTGTGGCTACACAAGGGGGATCTCATCTGCTGCACTGCATCACTACCCTGTCACCAAATGGAACTTTTGGCTCCTTGCAGCAAAGAAAGCCACCCTGAGCACCTAGAAACTTATGTTCATCTTGCCACGTCCCCAGGTGATCACCACTTAGACTTGCCTGTACAGCTTATGTCCACAATCACAGCAATAGGACTGGAAGGCAGCCAGAGAGCAGTTCCCACCTTCCCGCCTCAAGACCGAGCCAGGGAGGCCTTCAGAAACACAGGACAGCTTTCATGTCTTCTCCAAATAATCTGCTGTAGCATTTATCTCTTTTTTCTCTTCGGAAGTTCTTCCTAACATCTAATTTCCAATTTCATTTCTTGCAATTTAAAGCCCTTCTATGCAGATAACAAATCAGGCACACATCAGTCATGTCACATCTCCAAAGCCACACTGAAGTTCAGCTGTGCAGGACTTAACCTCCTTACAAGATACACGATGAGGGCTTGTTTTTACCACAACGTTTAAACATCTCATTATAGGGGAAATGTATATATCTAAAGGCACCAGGAGGCAGAAAACCTTTCCGTTCTCTGGTATTTGTGCGTGTTAGTAAAAGGAAGGCGGAACTGCTGTTACAGGGCCACAGCACCATCTGTGTCACTGCTTCCAAAACTTGCATCCATCCGACATGATGGTGTGAGCCAGAAAGTATCACCCAAACTGTTCACGTGCTTATGTCAACCTCCAAACACCTTATTTTCCTTGTGGTTGTACTATGTCTAGTGACAGTGATACGCCAGGGCCCTTCTCCTTAAGGTACAGCAAGGTATACTCTGCTCTCCTTGTCTGCAGAATTACGACAGGCTGTTAATGTCTGCATTGTATGTCTGCACATCTCCCAGTCGCCCAGTGGGAGAAAGGCAAAGGCAACTTACAGTCAACACCAGACTAGTCACCTACCCACATATTCAGCATGACATTATACATAGATACTCTTATTTTTCGACAATTATGAGAAAGAGACTAACCCCAGAAGTTTGTATGTCATGTGGAAGCGTCTTCTGAATTACTGTAGTTGCCAACCGTGAGGTGGTCCGAATCGGTTTCTTTACTGAAAAACAGTAGCTTTTTTTTTACAAGCTGCAATAAGGGACTAGGAAAGACTATCTTTAATACAGCGACCCTTGAGCATTTATGTCCCCACATACACAGCTTTCTTCCTTCTTGCCTGATGTTCCTGTGTATTGGAGGTAGTCAGCAGGGCACAGGGGGCTGAGATGGGACTGTGGGCTCAAAGTTGACCACCAAGCTCTGTAAAGTCTCTCTTGCTCTTCACCTAGCAGTCCACTGATTCCAGCACCCAGCAGCCCCTCACTACAGACGGCCTGGGCTGTGGCATGCTCACGCAACGGTAAAAGGGGCCTGTGATCTCAAATACTGTGTCCCCTCCAGGCTGTATGGCCAACAACTGAGATCCACCAGGGCAGAAGCGTGTGAAGGATGCCCAGCCAGCATGACCCAAGCCCCTGTGCTTCGTGCAGCCTCATGCACTCTGCTGAGCTGAGGGTCTTAACACACAACCCGACATCCTTCACCGGGAAGGACCAAGGAAAGAGTACAAGCATAACATTCAAGACAGAAAACAGGCTTCAGTACCTCCCCATTTGCAATTGCCAGGTTACTCACTGTTGTTCAGCTTTGGCTCGGTCACTTAGGAAGAAGAGGGCTGTGGCCAGGAAAAACATCCCTCCTAGGACAACGACAAACGGGCAGAGCATGAGTGCATACCCCAAGCTGAGGAACTCCCAGACTGGGGACTCCTTCGTGCTTTGTCGTATCAGGTCTGAGATCTAGGAGAGAAGGACAAAAAGAATTAGTTATTTAGATGAAAAAGAGACACGATAATGGTGAAAAGAACAGGATTCCCTAAACAACTGCCCACTAAACATGTGCATGAGGTTTAAAATGGAACAGTGGGTTCAGGAAAGGCTGAATGTCCTTTGCATGCTTCAGCCTTCTACATGCCACTCTGGAGCCTGGGCAACTTACGCTGTGAGCGGCTCGGCAAGGGCTCTCCTCTCCCTGTCACTCTCCTGGCCTGGTCTGTTATTCATCCCACAGCGCCTTCGTCTTCTCCCTGGCTGCTTCAGTGACTGAATGCGTGGGTGTCTAACCTTGCTGTACTGACCGAGCCTCCTGGGGCCGCACCGGCATTGCTTGGTAGGTGATGGAGAGATCAATCTTCTCCAATTTCTATCAAGCCCTGCTTACTCCTACACCTTACCTACCGTTCAGCAAAAGGAGGTATTAAATTCCATTTCTGTGTGTTGAGTGGGAAGGGGGAAATGGTTTACACAGAACAAAAACCCAGAGATCCCATCTGATTTTCAGAAACAGAACTCTAATATGGTTTTATCCTTGTGTCAGGTACAGTACTTGTTCCCTCTTCTAGCCTCCTGAGCTTGCTGCGCTTTGAAGTGTAATTGTGCGCAAGATGTGGCTCTGCCCCCCTGCTCGGACAAGGTCTGTCGCACAGGGGCTGCGCTCGCACCGAAGAACCATGCACCACCAAGCTCATGGGCTAAGGCAACCTGCATCTTCCGACAGCCAAAAAGCATAATTATATGAAAGTGAACACAAGGTTGCACTTACACAAAGGAGCAGTGACATGCAATGGCAGTATTTAGTTCATTATGAAAAGCTTTTGCTAAAACTCAGTAATATTTAATGACTGTCTGTAGCTAAAACAATCCCATTTTAATATTTACTGTCCAGCAAAAAACTTTAGTCTCCATAAATCCAACAGAGCGGTAGCAGCAGTAGAGATGAGTCTCAAGGCATTGGGTGTTTAAATGTCCAGCTCTGTTTTTATCTGTGACCTTTTGTTGAGGCAGAAATACTAGTTTATACCAAAAGACTGCAGGGAATTTGCAGCGTAAAATCCTACTGCTGTGCACACACGCAAATCGGTTCCAGAAATAGTCAAAGCTTGTGCAGCAACTTCTAAACTGCTACATTACTGCTAATGAAAAAGGTGGTGTCAGACACAAACTACAAGCAAAATCCAACATTCAAGGCTTAAATCTAAAGGGACTTGAAAATCAAGTGAGGAAATGTCACACGCAGGAGAAATCACCAGCTCACAGCCCTGCAGCCGACTGCAGCGACCTGGAAGGTAAATGTATGCGAAGAGATGCCCCAGCAGAGGCCAAGCACAGCAGAAGGTGACAGAAAGGTGACGCTCATGGGGACTCAAACGAACAGGTCGCAACGCGTGCTTTAGCAGGGAGACTCTGGAGCGTTGGGGGTCTCAGTGCCTTAACATCTGTCTGACAGCTCAGCCTGGCTCCTGCTCGAGTGACGGAAAGGAGGAGCGGCCAGCCTGATGCTGGAGGTGGAACCGCTGCACACAAAAGAGCAGGGGACTGTCTGTCAGGACAGAGCGTTCGCAAGTAGAGGGGAGTGAATAAACACTGGAAGAGTGTTATCTACAGAAAGAATTGAAGGGTTTTAGCCAGACTTCTCTGTTTCATTCCCTGCCCTAGAAAGGAGGAGGAGAAAATTTCAGTGCTTGGGATATAGCTAAGGAAGTGTTCCTGTCCTCTCAAAGAGGACTTTATTCACAGTGTGTAACACACACAAGGAAAAACAGGATTGTTATGAACAAGTCTTGTGAGAACTGATGGTTAAAAAAGCCCTTAGACTGAAGGCAAATAACAGTGGCTATTAGTCTGAAAGACTTATTAAAAAATAGCAACAAGACTTGAATGTGTAAAGAACGCACTCAGAAGAAGTTAGCAGAACATGCACTGCACCCAGAAGGCAGGGACCTCAGCTGGTAATTTGCTCCCTCTTGTATCCAGACACCTTAATTCCCAACATTTCCCTTACTCTTCATTATGAACCAAAATTTGGCATTCGATCAGCCTCTCTGTGTGCAATAACCAGAATTGAGGCTATTCTAAAATAGAAATTTAGAAATTCTAAACCACTTTTCATTTTTGGGAATGGATACAATTATCCTCCAAAAGGACCAGACAATAAATCACTCGACAAATTGATAGGATAAATCAGCAGCAGAGGATGAAAAGGCAGGCATGTGCTCCCGATTGCTTTCTCTTATGGATGACACGACATTCTAAGCTAAAACCAGCTTAGAAAGTGTAAAGTCTCCTACAAATAAAACTCCCAGTGCAGCTTGCCCCACACCTTCCCATCTAAGACATCATGTTGATCTTTTATACCAACAAATCATGTTAATATTGAATCTGCTACCTTTTTCATTTTTAACCCAACATATTGTTTAAGTGCACGTTTTAGAAAAAGCAGTGTTTCCTCCCATCCAAGGTATAATTCTTCCCACCAAGCCAGCTGGGCTTTCTCATCTAGGTTTCATATAATCCCTTCACCCATGTCTGCATCTCTTAACTCTAGAAGTTTATCAGGGCCCATGCGTATGTTTTTGCTGTTAACTTACAGCCACTATTCCTTGTTGTTTTCCTCCACTCAGTTACAAGCCACCTGCTAAGACTGGAACTTTGGCATCTCCTCTCAAGAGGACACAGGACATAATTACAGACTTGGGCTCCAAGAACGACATGCTGTCTGCCAAATGGTCTGCTCTGTATTGCCAATTTTTGGTTTTCCAGGCTCCTTGCAATGATAGCATCCTGAGTTGTCTATGATTTGGCAAGACCCAATCTAGCATCATATTCCGTGTCTTCTCTCTACCACGAGTAACAAAAAGTGGGGGTTGCAAGCACAGCCAGTGCCAGTTCTTCAGCATGGAGTCATGTGTGGGATTCCTTTTTTTGTTCTGCCAATTGGTAGGTGGCAAAAAACTTCAAAACATTTACCCAAAACCTGGGGGTGGAAAATCAATAAGGAAGTTCTGCTGCCGCTTTGCAGTCTAATCAGAAGTCTTTGATAACATCCTAACTATGAAAGTTCACATCTTCTTTTCCCTCACTGTGTAACAGAAATCTGAGACCAAGAGGAATGACTTTGCTAAATAAACTTCAGCTCGTGGCATTTTTACAACAGAATACAAATGGCATGTGTTCAGCCAGTGGCGGCCAACTGGATGGAGTCCAGCTAGAGAAAATGCCCGCTTGCTGGAGAACGAACAGTACAGCTGCAGTGGGCATGATCCAAAACCCCAAAATCTCTGACTGTGTCTCAATCTGTGTGCAGGAGACAATGACGGAAAAAAGGGAACTTCATTACCTTTCTTGGGAAGCATGTGCTGTGTTTTTTGGAACACTGGACAGGCTATTGCTGTAATAAAAGCTCAGGTGGGCTGAAGCCCTAGAAAGATGGCTTGCTTCTGTGTTACTGTCCCTCCTGAACAGCACGAGCGGTTAAATTAAACTGATATACTAATTAGACAGTGTAACGGTAACATCAACTTTGAAATTGTAATTTCATCTACCTTGCATCTCAATTCCTCTGCAATTGCTTGGTTTTTCTAAATTTCTGACGTTGCCTCTTGGGCACAAATCTTGCTACATAAAAGGATATTTCCACTGCAGCATCTGGCACAAATACCTGATTTTCATGATTACCAATTTGATACAAGCCAGGTTCTCCCTGGCTCCTCTCTTCAGTACAGTTCCCTAACCCAGCACTCCCTGTGACCCCCCAGTGTCACCACAATGGTCTGAGGTTCACCCACTCTGAATTCAGAGATGCACCTGAAAGGTTTCTTTGATTTAACAAAAAAAATCTAATATGAATACAAATGAAGATTAGAGACCAAAAATAAGGGATTTTATAAAGTAAAAGTAAACAATTTGCTAGATCTGTGGGGGAGCACAAACATTTATACTGTGCTAAATGGCATGAGAAACACATTATAAAAAGAGGAAGTAAAGCCAACTATTTTATGATATTCTGAAAGCCACAGAAAGGTAAAAGCAATTATATTCTAAAAGTTATTTCAATTTTAACATTGGCACGTTTGGATGTTAGAAGGGAAAAAAAGCAAAACATCCTGTTAATCTTAAATTTGTCCTTTTGAGATCACACCCGAATTTAATACTTGGCTGGTGACAATATCAATACCCTGCATAAGTGCCTGGTACCCCTGTTTGCCCCAGCAATACCTGTAGCAAGGATTCCTGAACTGCTTCCCCTGTGGCAGGCTCATCTCTTTATGCCCTTGTACCCCCTCCCAGGATTACCAGGCTGCATTAAATAAGTGGTGCTGCCTTGAAAAGGCTGCAGTAAATTAAGACTCAATCAAAGGTTCTGCTTGCAATGCTAGCAAATGGACTTCATACGTCTCTTGGTGTCAGAGCAACATTTGCCCTGGTGAGGGTTGCAAGTCTATTTTCTTCATGTCCTTAACTGCCTTTCTCGCCAGGTCTGGTCTGCCCAGGGAATTTCTAAGTTAACACTGGACTTCCTCCTGTCCCAGCAGGAGATGCCTTGTACCACAGGGAATGTGGAGTCAAGGAGCACGGCTCACACGACAGAGCGCAGGTACTTAAATGCATAGGGATGCGGGGTGCCCAGTTCAGGTCTGTGGCACAGGACCACAGGTTGGGAGCGCACCCTTCAGCAGCATCCCTGTCCCCATCTCCTTGCAGCACAGGCCCCTTCCCTGGCGGTATGTCCCAGGAGAAGGAACTCATTCCCCCATGGTGCAGAACGTGGACACCTCATTCTGAAAGGTGCTCAGCACCACGAAAACTCTGTGTCCGTATTGGGAGCGTACAGGGTCCTTGGCAGCTCAGAGAAAGAAGCCACAGATTTAATGAGATTTTTAGTGCACAGAAGGAGTAACAGAGCAGATGGGACAGAGCTTGAAATACTCGAGTGCAACAAGGATCGGCTCTGGATTTCTGGG